AAAAAAAAAAAAAAGAAAAGAAAACAAACAAATCCAAGCTTACTCTACAGATATCCCTTTTCATTGCCCAGGGATCTAGGTCTCCCAGAGGAAATACCTTCCACTGCTATGAATTTAAACCACATGAGGAAATGGACCACTAAAGAGAGGTGGCAAGTTTCTTTTGGGACCTGAATTCCAGAAGCAAGGGTGCATATAGAACAACCTTTTTTCTCTTGCTTTGGGATCTTCCCATTCAGCTTGGGAAGTCTTTGTATTGGGAGAGATGGATAGAATACTTTCAAAAGCAATGAGTAAGCAGCTCCTGAACTGGAAATATTGGGAAAGCCATTCAGTGATATCAGATGGTATTTTTCCATGTTGTAGAAATATGTATGATTCAACTAAGTTCTTACAATGAAAAAACAATGCAGCGAAGGGGAAATGGAGGGAAGATTGAAGTCCTGCACCCCCACTTTCAAAGCCTGGGTTTTGAGGCAGGTGTCAAAGATGTAACAGCTATGGCTGGCCACATTCATGCTCCATTTTCTCTTTCTTGCAGAGGAAAAGCACCTCCACATTTTGATCAACAATGCAGGAGTGATGATGTGTCCCTACTCTAAGACAGCAGATGGCTTCGAGATGCACATGGGAGTCAACCACTTGGGTAGGAAATCTGGTCTTATCATAAAACCGGAAGAAATCTAAAGTTCTCCTTGGAAAATTTAGAAGTCAGATTGAGCCTTCTTTGTGGTATGATTGATGCTCAGGGCCATAATAGACCAGGTAAGAGTTATGAATAGTTTAGACCAGCCTGAAACTGAGGCCTGCCTCAGATTCTGCCTACGTTTTAATCTGCCATCCAGATTTGGTTTACCTTGAGGGCATTTTCCAACAGCCCAATAGGATTGGGGACTGTGTTGCTTCTTAGAAGTGATCCCTGTGGCTGGCATCAGATAGAGGCTACCTGCTCTTAAAGAGTGATGTTAACCACCACTGGAACAAGACAGGACTTCATAGGCACTTGTCAGACCTACCTGGCTGTTTCCATTTCCCTAAACCCTCACTGGACTTGTTGTGTAGTTGACAGTGTAAAGTTGAGGTGAAAGGCCTTATTCCTGAATTCTCTGCCCCCATAGCTGAGCCCTGCTTACCTCCATTCCTCTTACCTCATACTGGCACTGAACTCTGTTAATCCTAGTTTTTTCTCAACAGGTCACTTCCTTCTGACCCATCTGCTGCTAGAGAGACTGAAGGAATCAGCCCCATCAAGGGTAGTAAATGTGTCTTCCTTGGCACATCACCTGGGAAGGATCCACTTCCATAACCTACAGGGCGAGAAATTCTACAATTCAGGTCTAGCCTACTGTCACAGCAAGTTAGCCAACATTCTTTTCACCCAGGAACTGGCCAGGAGGCTGAAAGGTGGGTTTGGGAAAAATGATTATGGAAACATAAGTCAATGGGAGATAGCTAAATGCCACAAGAATGAAAACTGTTTTCCAGAGCCTGTCACCTGCCCTCAGGACCTGCTTCCCTGACTCTAAATGAATATTGGAGGTGGCTAGCTGGGGACAGGGAGATTCTTACTTTGATTCTGAAGGCTCCACAACTTACTGTGTGAGCTGAAGCAAGTTACTTAACTTTTCAAAACTTATTTCCTCATGTGTACAATGAGACTGCTCCACAGATGGTTGTCATAATTCAGGCTCATGAGCAAGTCGAGATTTTTTACTGTTAGTGAGACTGAGTAGCAGGAAGGGAACTGAATTGACACTAGATACAGCCATTAGAATTAAACATTTACTGGGATTCTGGAGGGGCATCTTCCTAACACCAAAGGGTCAACACTATAAGAGGGATAGTGAAGTAAACAAATARTTTGTTTGATAGTCACAAGTAAACAAAAGTTCTTAGCATGATCAACTCTGGATTTCCAACAAAGATAAAGGAAATCAAAATCTAAAAGGGCAATATGTAGGAGAAGAGAGAGGCAGAATTCAGACTCGAGGAATTAAGCACAAGATCCCCACTTTAGAATGGGATCCTTATACCTCATGGCCAGCCACAAGATGAGAAGAAGGAAGCTGATAGGCAGCTCAATCCATATGCCCAGTCTGTACCCAGGGCATGTATCCTTTATTAACTCAGGATAGATGAGGATAACTGAGCAGTAAGAACTATCCAAAGAGTAGGTCAGGAAGCTAAGGCAGCCTGGAGGTGTAGAGATGGGTCCACAGTGAGAATCCAGTAAAAGCAGAGTATACTAGGGAGTAAAACTGACAGTTTTCCTGGTTTTTTAGGTAGAAAATAGCTGTGTTGAAGAGCAAGAACCCCCATGTGACAGATTGATTCATCCAACCATTCCGCAGATATGTATTCCATGCCTGATATAGGGGAATAGAGATGAGGTGGTGGACAAGACTCTATTTGTTTGACATCTAATGGGAGAGAGAGATGATTAGCAAATGCTTGTACATTTGTTCCACGTAAAATCGTTTAGTAATACATGAGGTAATTTTTGCTATAAAAAGTTCAAATAGTATGTGATAGTATACAGAATTAAAGATGAAAACCTTCTTTATTTATTCTTTTAGCCCCCTTCCAATTTTTTCCCTTCAAGTGATGCTGTCAGCAGCTTGTTGTGCTGATTTCCAGTCGTCCCCCCGTGCATTTACATATGCATGTCATACACAAGGAACTACATTTCTAACATGGTATCTTGGCAATTCTTCCATGTGGTACATATTTACTCCCATTCATTTGTTGGCTGCATTATATTTAATATAGCTGTACCTTTGCTTATTTATCCATTTTCTTAAAACATATAGGTTGTTTCCTTTTTTGTTGCTGCTATTTAATTTTAATTATGGTAATGTTATAAAGGTCAAGTGCAAGGACTTAATAATGGATTGGGCTGGCAAGGACCTTATTCAATCTAAGGGTTTAAGAAAGATTCTCTGAGGAACAAATTGCAGTCTGAGCCCCAAAGAATGATTAAAAATTAAATGGGTCATAGGTGCAGGGGGGTGAGGAGGCTGAGGAACATTCCAGCCAGAAAGAAGAAGATGTATAAAGTATGAGCTTTGTTTGAGAAACAGAGAAGACTGGTTAGAACTTGGTTTGAACAGAGGATTGAGCTAAAACTGAAAGGTTGATAGAGGCCATAGTAAGGATTTTAGTGTTCATTCTAAGAGCAGTAGAAAAACCTTTGAAATTAAGGCCTTTTAGAAATGAGCAGGAGTAGGTGCAGCAAGCCTGGACTAGGGTGGTGGAGATGGAATGTAGAAGACACTCCTGAGAGATATTTAGGATGTAGAAACCACAGAGCTTGTTGATGATTATGCATGGTGAAGTGGGGGATCATCAAGTGCTGCTCCTAGAAGCCTATTTAGGTATTTAGGGGACATGGCAGCAACCAGGTTTGGACTTAAAAGTGGAAGTCAGTTTTAGACCTCTGAATCTGCATTGTGGTAGGTTATCTAGGGAAGATTGTGGAGTAGGCAGTTGGAAATAATGAGTACTTTATCTCAAGTTGCAAAATCCACAACTCTTCTCAAACTTGACACCAAAACTTATTTGGTAGCAAAACCTCAACTATGCTAGGGAGATTAGATAATAGGCAGGATAGGTATATGTCTCATATTATCCTGCTAAAATAAGAAGAAATTTAAAACATTTTTGGTCTCAAGATTTCCAGACAGGATCAGGGACCTGAAATAACATGTGCAGAAGTGTTATTTAGCATTTCCACATTCCAGGGACTATTCTCAGCTCTTTACATATGTGAAATTATCTACTCCTCAGACAAATCCTGTGAGGTGTAGGTATCATGATTAGCCCCATTTTAGAGATGAGAAAGTGAGTCACAAAAACAGGAGCTTGTCTCAGGTTACACAGCCAATGAATGGAGCTGGGAGTTGAAATGGGGCATTCTCACTGCTACAAAGTCCATGCACTTCACCACTTCTCATAGTTACTCTATAATCCAAAGGAACAGTTTGGGCTGTAGATGCAAAGTGTAAGTCTAGTGAGCCGTGAGAATTCCAAGACATAACATTTAGATAGAAAATGATGATAAGGCTGCCTAGGAAACTGAGATGAAGCAGCCAGAAGAAGGGTTAAGAGACCAGAAGAGGTATGGGGTCATAGAAGCCAGTTAAAAAAAAAAAAAGGACTTAAAAAAAACAGGGGGTCAACAATGTGAAGTGTTCCTAAGAAGCCAAGTCTTGGTTCTGCTACAATGAAACAGTTAATGACCTCTCAGAGCCCTAACTTCTTAATCTGTGAAATGGATGTGTAAATTAACTGTGAATAGTGCCTGTGATGTTACCATGGCAGGGGATTCACTTGTGGGATCACAAGATTCTTCCCAACCTTTTTGGTAAAATCGAGTCCTGTCGTCTCTTTACGTGGCACCCCCTACAGGCTCTGGCGTTACCACATATTCTGTACATCCCGGCACAGTCAAATCAGAATTGGTTCGGCACTCATCTTTCATGAGGTGGATGTGGTGGCTTTTCTCCTTCTTCTTCAAGACTCCTCAGCAGGGAGCCCAGACCAGCCTGTACTGTGCCTTAACAGAAGGTCTTGAGATTCTAAGTGGGAATCATTTCAGGTATGCATATGTCTGTTTTTGAAGATGAGATTTTATTTCTCAAAGGAAATTATCAGAATTTGTCTGGTATGTCGTAGCCTTTTTAAAAAAGTATTTTGTCAAATATATCTAGAGTTTTTATCTTTTATGTGACCCATTCACATTTTTTGTGATACCTAAGTTTGATTTTTTTTTCTCTTACTCTGATAATTATGCTTTCTATTTCTTTTCATCCTATCTTTTGTTATGTTAGTCAAGTTTTATTTATTCCTTTTTGGACTCTTTAGTTCTATATTTCTCACATTAAAAAGAACTTTAATCTGTTTTTTTTCATTGTCTTTAGAATTGAAAGATTCCCTTCTTGAATGAGTAAAAGTTTAAAAAGTTCATTGTAGAGGCTTTTGAACATACATAGCAGTAGAACAATTAGCATATTGAACTCACATATACTCATCATCCAGTTTCAACTGTCATTAAACCAGGATAATCCTTCTCTGTCCTTCACACCTTTCCATATTTTCTTCTCCCATATTACTATTATTATTATTATTTTAATGTCTTTTAGTTGTAGATGGACACAATACCTTTTTATTTTATTTGTTTATTTTTATGTGGTACTGAGGATCAAACCCAGTGCCTCACACATGCTAAGCAAGTGCTCCACTCCGAGTCACAACCCCAGCTCATTCTTCTCCCATATTATTTTGAAGAAAAATCCCAGACATCACATAAGATTTGTAACATTTTATTTATCTTCATGACAATGTTAAAGTAACCTGATATTTTGGAGAAGGGGCTATAAATTATATTTAGATTGGAAAGAAAGGTAATTAGATGATGAAAGCCTATAGTGACAGACTTACAGAAGAACCACAGAAGTTATTTCCTTAGAGACAGACAGAATCTAGTCTATGTTTTAGAAAAATATTTGTTTAATGAATAAGTAACTCAGTGAGAGGTAGAGTCCCTGATTTAGGGTATTGACAATTAAAAGGATAGTTGCATGCCAGAGGCCCTTGAAGAGATAGAATTTTACCACTGGATGAGTGAGAGAGGGAGGGAGAGAGGGAGGAGGAAGATTTGGTAGCCTGGGTTTCAAGCCTGAGTGTCTAGGAGGTTGATGATGACATTAACCCAGATAGTAGGCATGGAAAAATAGTGTATGACTTAAGGTTCTTGAATTCCAAAGCAGTGGACATGAACTCTGGCCAAAGTTAAGCAGGAAGGAAATTTTCTATAATATTAGAGCTGGAGGTGCCCCTAGATTCAAAGGGAAGACTGAAGAGTTGCTTAGAACAGTCAAAATGGCCAGCCACCCTGCTGGAGCACTGCGCCAGGGTGAAGTCTTTTAGTTTTGGTTGCTCACTATATAGTCTCCAGGGAGGAAGCATTGGATAGAAGGAAGTTACCAAAAGAAGATGGAATGGATATTTAGTCAGAATGACAGTTTTCCCTAGTGTAGTAAATCTTGCTCTGTATATGTTGAGTGTGTATTACAAGACATACAAATAGAAATGTGTAGCAGAGAGTTGAAAGTATGGGTCTGAAGTTCAAGAAAATAGTTTTGCACACTGGAATGATTTTCTAAGAGTGGGTGGAGGCCGGACGTGGTACACACTTGTAATCCCAGCGGCTTGGGAGGCTGAGGCAGGAGGATCACAGGTTCAAAGCCAACCCAGTCTATGGATTCTTAATTTTACTTCATTTTGAAGATTCAACAGCAGCCAAGTAGAATACTATTTAGAAAGCAATGTAAAAGTCTGTTTTGATTGGAACTTTGCACTGGCTGTTCTCTCTGCCTATTTCTACTAATCTTTCTGTCTGTAATGTTTTGCCTATAATGGACATTTCACAAAAATGGAATGATAAAATGTGGTATTTGTGACTTTCAATTAGCATAATGTTTTCAAGGTTTATCTATACCAAAACGTATCAGTTCTTAGTTCTTTTTTTAATAATTTTTTTAGGTGTAGATGGACACAATACCCTTATTTTATTTATTTATTTATATGTGGTGCTAAGGATAAAACCCACTGCCTCACACGTGCGAGGTGAGCACTCTTCTATGGAACTACAACCCCAGCCCCTCTTATTTCCTTTTTATTGCTTAATAATATTTAATTATATGGATATACCATAGTTTATTTATCCTTTCATCAGTCAGTGGACATTTAGGTTTCCAAATTTTTTTACTATTTGAATACTACTGTTGTGAACATCCTTATAGAAACTTTTGTATTGGCATTACTCTTGGATATATAGAAGTGGGATTTTGGGGCATCTGGTAACTCTGTTTTTTTTTTTTTTTTTTTTTTTTTTT